TGGTACTATTTAGCCCAAATAAAATATAGAATAACTTGGCCCAATTAATTAGCTAGGTCCACTTCAGGAAGAAGGCCTAGTAACCATATTCCCGCTTCAAGCTCATCCAAAACCATTTGAAAAAAAGAAGAAAGAGAAATTCTGCTGGAAAAATGCCGATGCCGATGGAGGAGCCGGAAGAACGCCGGAAATTGTTGCTCAAAATCACTCGGATTTTCGACGACGTCCGAACTTCGCATGCCACCCACAACCGGAAGCTCAAGGAACTCGCCACGCTCCGCTCTTCCTCACCTCCCCCGGAATTCTGCGCGGCGTTCTGCAAAGCCCTAACGCCGCTTTTCAACTTCCAGCGCCGTACGTCTGCAGCCGAGCGCGTCATCAAATTCGCATCCGTGTTTGCCTGCTCGCGCGGCGTAGATGGCAGTAGTAGTGATGAATTCCTCGAGAATTTCCTCAAGTTTCTTCTCGTCGCTGCTGGTGCTGCGGACAAAACTGCGAGGTTTAGGGCCTGCCAGATCGTTTCTGAGGTGGGTTGTGTAAAATTTCTCGATCTGTTTTATAATATGCATTTTTTGGCAGTTCGAAAATTTAATTGGGATATATATTGGTGAAATGTAATTTGTACATTTGTTTTAGTTGGAAAAGAGCAAAATGATAACCGGAAACGGGAAGGCGGAGAAACATATGCAGGAGAAGTGAGATTCATGAAATGTTCATGTTTGTTTATCTGCTAACATTGGGATTTAGAGATATATGTATATAAATTTGGGGGCGGATCTATTTTTTCGGCAATATGTTCCTTTTTTCTCCCGATGTACTGAATGATATCTCAGTATAATACGGTCACATTTTGTCATGAATAAGTGGATCTTAATGTTGTTAACAGGAGCTAGTGTTATGGCTATGAACAGAGTTCTTTAATTTCAATGGTTTGAAGTTTATTTATCCTTTCATGAGTTGGAGCATAGTTTCTGATTCTAATTCTCACGTTAAATAATGAATTCTTTGTTTAAAAATGAAATTTGTTGTTTTGCCACACATTTTACGAGGCCACTTTCCTATAGTGGGCACAGAAGAGGGATAAAAGGTTGAATTTCTGTATTCGTTGCTATCCAGATTATTATGCGGTTACCGGATGATGCAGAAGTGAGCAATGGACTCTGGGATGAGGTGATTGATTGCATGATGTTACGCGTAGGTGATAAGTCTCCTATAATTCGGACATTTGCAGCCAGGGCTCTTGCACGCTTTGCCAGTGATTCAGAGAACAATGATATTCTCGATTTGTTTCTTGAGAGGTTGCAAGTGGAGCAGAATGGGGTAAGTTCTTCATGTATCTGGTTTCATTTCTGGATCTCTTTTTGTTGTGTTGATTTTTTGTCTGCATAAAATACTGAAACATTTTTTCTCTTTGTGCTGATTATTACTCAGAATTACCAAATGACTCCAATATAAACCAAGATGTGTCAGTGTTATTTTTATTCTGTTCTTTCTGTCGAGCAAACTGCTGTTGTCACTGACTAAATTAGTAAATTAGATGAGCTTACATGTTGTAAAACTTTATTAAGCTGTTGCCTTAAAGTGACATAAGGGCATGTTTCACAACTCTGATTAAAGGAAATTTGCAGGAAGTTCGTAAGATAATTGTGATGTCTTTGCCTCCGTCAACCGCAACTTTATCAGTAATTATTGATTCTACTCTGGATGTAAATGAGTCAGTACGAAAGGCAGCATACTGTGTTCTAGCCATTAAATTTCCTCTACAGAGCCTCAGGTGATTTGGTCTTTCATAGCTCTTCAACCGTAGTTCTTCTTGTTGCTCTCAAGAACTTTTTTAGCTCTAAATTTTTGCTTCTTTTTTCTTCCTAACTAGTTTTGCTATCTGATTCACAAGGCCAATGGCCTGTTGCTAAGCTTAGAGTATTTTTGAAACTGCTGCTACCTGAACACTTTATCATAATTCACACGTTCTTAATTTATCTATTCCAGCACCGAATTGTGCATTTAGAATGTTGTTTTCTAGTGGAACCAACAATTAATTATTTAGGGATGGGAATGAGAACCATGTGGGACGATTTTGACTTCTTTTGAATTTGTTATGGACCATATAATTCCAGGTCATTGCTACTGAAATGTTCACGGTGCCTTCTTTGGGCATGGGAATTTCTAGTTCTTAAGTTTGCCTACTGTCTCATATTACCCAGTGGTCAAAGCAGGAAGAGGTTTTCTTTGAGGTCATAATGTTGGCCATGCTGCATTGTCTTCTAAGTTCTAACTGTGTAGAATATGAGATTCGATGCAGGAGTTAATTCTAATGATTTTCTGATACATTTTAAACTTAATCTTTCTCAGATCTAATATTTCTTAAAGTAAAAGCTTTAGATGCTTCCTTAAATGAGTTTTACCTTTGAATAAAGAGGTGAAATTTTTTATCTTCCTTCCAAACCAAGTTCAGGTGACATGTTGAGTGGTATATCTCATTCATGTACTCGAAAAATTTTCTTCAACTGTGAAGTGAGGTTACATTGTCGTAAGAATTTTTATCAATCAATTCTATATTGATCATATGATATTTGTTGTTTGTTTTTTTCAGTATCAAGCTCAGAACAACAATTCTCCAGCGAGGTCTAACTGATCGTTCTACAGCTGTTCAAAAAGAATGCTTGAGAATTATGAAAGATGAGTGGCTTGAGAAATGTTGCAATGGAGACCCTATAGAACTACTTAAATTTCTTGATGTCGAAACCTATGAATCAGTTGGGGAGTGTGTAATGGCTACACTGTTGAAAGCAGGGTTGCTAAAACTCCATGATGGTCAAACTATTCGGAGTTTTTTCATATCCAATGGTGATTCGAGTGAAGGTATACATTAATATATGTTTATTATACACTTTTGGATCCTTTTTAAGGCAAACTTTTTTTCCTGCTTCATATTTTGCAAAAATTTCTTGTCTAGCTGTTAGGATCCTCTTTAACCTCACACAATAATTAAACTCCTTGTTGCACTGCAATCACATTATCTTTAACTTCTAAGCATCTTAAGTAATATCTAGCTGAAATTGCTAACTTTATTTCATGCTGCTGTTCTCAAAAGTCAAAAGCAATGGCATCTTGTGTCTTTCCTCATTAGCTCTATGGCAAAAGTTTAACGACTGATATGGTTGATATTTGATATCATAGGTTGACTTCACTCCTTGATATCAGCAAATTTGTTCCTGGACGCACCTTAGTGCATTTTTTCTATAGCAGTTGGAATACCAAAACATCACTTATTACGTGTTAACATTCTCCATTTCATTTTTTAACTTTATATGAATTTTCATATTTGCTTGCCTATTGTGTTTTATGTCGTATTATTTGGGCTCTTGTGCTAGTTTTTAGAAATGAGTTAACAGGTTAAAACCTAACAGAAGAATAGCCAACATTATCACCATGATCATACAGCGAACTGCTGAGTAATGCTTTTGTAGTGGCCTTCTTCCTGAATGCATCCAACAGTTTTTAATGGTGAACTTGTATCTCTTGTAATCTTATATATTTTCCCATATAAATGCAGGACACTGCAGTCATTCTATTAAGCTAATGGACGCAGAAATTGCCTTGTTTTGGAGAATGGTCTGTAAGCACTTGCATATGGAAGCACAGGTATTTCTAAGCATTGAATTTCATTTGTACTTCTTTGTTCCACTTTAACTTTTGAAGTAAATTGCTAATCAACTTCTTATTGGTTAGTATACACTTATTTCGTGTTGTTCACCACCTGAGCTACTTTTCTACATGTTGCATGAAGTGATATGCAGAGTTTCGCATATGTGCATGTAAACTGCCTTTTATAGTTTTCCGCATGACATTGAGTACTTCAACCGGCAGCCACTGGAAAACGTGGCTGGGCCGACATGGCCAACCTTATGGAATCTCTAGATGATCAAATGTCCCAATCCTTATAAGTTATTGGTATTCATTTTTCAGTTTATGCTCATTGTGGAGAACTATTGCTAATTATGAACTTGGGTTTTAAATGTTCTTTATTGCTCCAATCCAACATTTTAACAATTTATAGGAAATTCCTCGGGGAAGTGTTATGTTTCGAGCAAAAATACGTGTCAAATGGCGCTGTAAAATGTTGGGAAATGACTTTGAAATTTTAGATTATCTCCTTACCGTGTTTTAAGAAAAAGATGAAACTGCAAAAATACAGGAATAACAAAAGAAGA